TCTTCATACATGTAATTGTAGTTACATGTATGAGTGAAAGAATGGGGTAGAAAATCAGAAGAAATTAACAACCAAATAGTTGAAATTCCCCAGATAGTTTAAATTCTGAAAAACCTCAATTATGAAATCATGTTTCATTTAAACAGAGAAAAGACTGAAGTTGTCAAGGATCAACACTCATGAAAGCAGCAGTCAAGAAATCAAACGATGCATTGCATTGGGCAAATCTGCTGCAAAAAGACCTCTCTATTTATGTATTTTTTTATTTAGAGAATACTTTATTAGTTTCTGTAATCAAACCCATGTAGATAAGACCTTACATATTTAATATAGTGCGTTACCCCTGTACAAATGGAAAAAAATTAAGTTTAACGTTTCTAGACCAATATGGCTGTTAACTTCTGTACAATGCCAACTCAACACGGTACAACTGGGATACTTTTTCCAAAGTTAACAGCACAGCTAAAGTTTCCAAAAATTCAAATTATATATATATGTATATATATATATATATATATTTATATAAAAAGACCAATCACAGTGTGTTATGCATCAATAGCAGCAACAGCTTTTCCAGGTTCTGCAGTCATCTGAACAAAACTATAGAGACATCCAGCACACTCCATTAAAAAAAGAAAAAAAAAGTACAAAACAAAACCTCAGAAAACAGCAAAGTTCTGTTACTGCTGTGGTACCTGGCACCATTTTTTTTTTATTAGCTTCTCAATCATCATCTGGAAAGAAAACATTCTAGAATAACATCATTAAAAAGCAGCTCTGATATAGCACGGTCACTATTACGTTATCATAAAGCAGGTACAAGATATCTTACACCCACAGAGGTATGATACAGTACAGTCCTACATCTATAATACTAGAGGATACAAATAAAAAGGCATTATTTGAGACTTGATTCTACTTTTCCAGCAGAGGGCCCAAAGGATGGTGTGACACAGCTCTGGTACAGAAATGAACCTTCTTAGACAGGATTTCATTAGTGGCACAGTTGTAAGGACTCACTGCTCTTCATGAACATCAGCTAAAAACCGTTAAAAAACAAAACAAAAACAAAAACCACCCAAAATGAAAAACAAAACCAAAAAAAAACCCCAAAACCATTCGATACAAAGATGGCCAAGTGGAGGCAAGCAGTGCACTCAACCTAACTATGATTTTACCAAATCTGTTATGTTTGAATGGTAAGAGCTCCATGGAAGAAAGGAGATGCCAAGTAGCACTTCAAAGCAAAAAGACCTCTTTAAAGTGTTAAAAAGCAAAGATGTCACCTTGAAGACTAAGGTGCGCCTGACCCAAGCCATGGTGTTTTCAATCGCCTTATATGCATGCAAAAGCTGAACAATGAATAAGGAAGATCGAAGAAGAATTGATGTCTTTGAATTATGGTGCTGGCAAAGAATATTGAATATAACAGGGACTGCCAAAAGAACGAATAAATCTGTCTTGGAAGAAGTACAGTCAAATGCTCCTTAGAAGCAAGGATGGTGACTTTTTCTCACATACTTTGGACATGTTATAAGGAGGAATCAGTCCCTAGAGAAGGACATAATGCTTGGTAAAGTACAGGGTCAGCGAAAAAGAGAAAGACCCTCAATGAGATGGATTGATACAGTGGCTGCAACAGTGGACTCAAGCATAGCAACAATTGTGAGGATGGCACGGGACTGGGCAATGTTTCGTTCCATTGTACGCTTCTCTCCAGCTTTAAAGCAATGAACCTGTGGCCATTTCTACAGATATTGTAATACACAGAACATTCTTATTTTGTCACATGAAGCAATACTGGTATAAGAAGAAGGCATCTGTTTTAAATACTTACTTTTACCAAACCCTTTATTAGGAGAACTATTCAATAAAACTTACCATTAAAGTTGCCTGGACTCCCATCTCAAAATATATTTTTTTTAATATTTAAGTTAATTACAAGATATATGAAACAATTATTTTTAGAATGATTTAAAAATATTTCCTTAAATTCTAATTAGAATCAAATTATTAACATCCATGTACATGAAGTACTTCTTTGAATCATTTGAATCTACAGTTTAAAATAGGAAATCATGAGTGGGAGGGAAAAGAACTGCAACATTATCATTGATTCATTTTAAATATCTATATCCATGTACATTCCATAAGCTCATAGCCTCAGTGTGATACTCATAGCCTCAGGGAATGAATTACTAAATTTGACATTATGTAAATATAGGAAATAAATGAGAGGTTATTATAAACTTTCCATGCATGGGGGCCACCAAATACGTTACTAATCATGATGTTTGACAATATGAAATATACTAATAAATAAGAACAATATTTATCCTCTCCATGGAGAAAAATCTTTAAGGAGGTTCTTGTCACTGATGATTTTTTAAAATAATTAACTAACATATTTATTTATTCACATCTGGACTTACACCTGTCATTGATAAGCAATATCCTTAGCCAATGATCTCTGACTTTCTCTCTAAAGTGTTATTTCCTATTCTTCCATACATCTATGCTCATTTCTATTTATCTTAAGATCTACATATTGCTAATAAACTATGATGACATTTTATGTGTAAAATACTAATTTTAGCCACATGTTTAAACATTGAAAATTAATTTTATGAGAGGTCAGTTGGTAGTGACAGGGTACAGCATGAAACTATTTTATTACCCAGGGGAAAACTTAGTACTATTAATGACTAAGTAACAGAAGGGCCAATTTTGGGATGAAAAAATATTAATAGCATGAAGATAATGCTGATGGAATAATTTGGAAAAGGATAGTGAGAATTGCAGCACAACTGGAATAAAGTAATTGATGTCACTGAATTGTACATGTAGAAATTTTTGAAGTGGTGTATCTGGCTATGCATATTTTCACCAAAATGAAAAGGTCCTCCAAGGTCAAGAGGGAGAGTATTGACATGTCATGGGGTTGTTAACCAATGTCATAAAACAATATATGTACTGACTGTTTAATGAGAAACTATTTGTTCTGTAAACCTTCATCTAAAGTGCAATAAAAAAAAATTGAAAATAAAAATATTAACAGCTATAAAAGTGATTAAATTCATTGCTTGAAAATCCATGACATATACAGCTAACTACAAACTGCTGTATGCTCATAGTTCATTTCAGCTATCCCTAATTAGCTAGGGAGAAAAAAATAATGAAAACTGTAGGTAGATTCAAAAGTTTTGGGGGTTGAGGATCCTCACATCTACCCTATATTTCAATAACAACTAGAGCAAACAGAGAGAAATTCAGTTGTATTAGAAAGGTTGATGATGGTTGGCATGAACTCATTGCCCTCGAGTTGAATTCCAACTTATGGTGAGCCTGCAGGACAGAGTAGAACTGACCCATAGGGTTTCCAAGGCTGTAAATCTTTATGGAAACAGACTGCCACATCTTTCTCCCATGGAGCGGCTGGTGGGCTCGAACCACCAACCTTTCGGTTAACAGCCAAGCACTTAACCACTGTGCCAACAGGTCTCCAGTTCGTTAGAATTAGTAGCCTATAAACCTAAAGCTATAAGAATTATACATGATGAATTATATTATTAGCCTTCATATAGACTTCATGTAGATATCATACTAAACTGCTATTTAAAGAGAATATATGGTAGTGAGAAAGAGTAGACACTTTAAAACTTGCCAGCATAAAATTCACTATAATGAGGGAATTATCACAACAAAGAATGCTGTAATGATATTTGCAAATAGGAGTGGGTGAGTGTTTACTCCGTGGGGAGGCTGAAAAAAGTGAATGCTGTAGAACAAGTGTTCAATTAATACCATCCAAGTGCAAAGACTGTATCTAGTGGAAACAAATTCCAGTCATTACACAGATTATTTTATAAAAGAGTGAAGATATTCTCTAGGCTTTTCTGTGAATAACTAAGTATCCCATGGGACCAATCCTTTGCTCTAATTTTATATTGTCAAGCAGCCTTCTGATAAATAACTTAGTCTCTTATTCAGCATAAAAAGTGTGATTCATATAAGTAATAGTTATTTTGCCAGGTACACTTCTCATGGTTAATAAACGACCTGGCGAATACATGCTTATAAATTTATATTGCTGAAATTTTGTTAAAGTCAGTCAGTCTTCCAGTACTTGACAAAGATGTTGCTGAATCTAGAACATGCTGATCTCATGAAGATAAAATTACGCCATGAATATCATCCAAAGCAGTAAGTGTCCATCTCTCCTTTCAACAATAGATACCTCAGGAGGGGAAAAAAAAAAGACCTGGATTGTAGGGGCAAAGAGCCAACAATGCTACTTTTCAATCTGGAAAATATTTCTCAGAGTTTCTTTAAGATTCTCTGGATTAATTTAATTCTATTTTATAGTTTGGATTGTGTATAACTCAAAGTAAATGTAAAAGCTGATAATAACAACAACTATAATATTAATGTTTATGAAATACTTTATAACCACCTTGTATTATACGCATTATTATCTTCATTTTAAAAATTAGGAAAGTGAAGCATAAAGAAATGATGTACCTCAAGTTATACAGCTCTTAAGTGACAGAATCAAAAGTTAAATTCAGGTCAGTCTAAGACCAAAGCTCATGGTTTCAACCACTATGCTATACTTACTATTCTACATATTCATAAAATACTTGGGATAATAACAGTATAAATCATAATCTCAGATATCTATGATCAAATTCTACTATATTAGCTATCTCATTTTTACATTTCATATATTAAGAGGTAAAATTAAAACATAACTGCTTCATTTGAGGTTGTTCCATCAAATACAACCATAAAACACTTTGATTTGTGAGAAGGAATGAAAGCTATAGATGTTAACAACATTTTAGTGTACTAAACAATTCAAAAGCTTCGATAATAGCTATTAAAACACTAATAAATGACTGTTGATACCCATAATGGCTTCTTCAAATTCTGTGTCACATTTATCATTCAGGATTGGAAAAATTCACTAAAGATATGATTAAATATTACTGAAAACTTACTTTGCAACCTTCGTATTGGGCTCTCTCCATGAAGTTGTCTTCGTGGCATATATGGAGAAGGGTGGGGAAGTGGCAATGAAGAGACATCATGGGTCTGAAGTTTGTACCAGTGTGGCTCATCATCTAATAATGCTGTCTCTAATTCAATTAAAATCTACAAACCCAAGAGACAAAGGACTGTTATACCAACAATACAGAAATTCTCTTAAATGGTCTCATAACTCATAATAATGATAATATAACAGTAGTGCTGTTAGATCAAAATTGATGGCACTTAGAAGTTGGAAAATTGTCAGTATGTTTAGACAATAGCTAAATAAAATGGAAATATTTATAACTTCTTACTTATTTGATTTTTTAAAATATCTAGGACATTAATTTTATAAACCCTTGACCATCCAACTACTAGAGGCTGTTAAATTTACTATTACAGAAATAACTATTAATACTTTAAAAGGTACTAATAATACCTAATATTTGTGTATCATTTTATAACTTAAAAAGTATTTTCTAAGTCAGACACCAAAGATTGTTGCCCACCTTTTGGCTATTGTGAATAGTGCTGCAATGAACATTGGCATTCAAATATCTGTTTGTGTTCCTGCTTTCAGTTCGTTTAAGTATATACTTAGGAGTGGAATTGCTAGATCATATGGTAAACCACTAAGCTGTTTTCCATTATGGCAATGCCATTTTACATTCCCACCAGCAATTGATGGGGCATTTTTCCACATCCTTGCCAACACTTGTTCTTCTTCTTCTTCTTTTTTTTTTTAATAATAGGAACCCTAGTATAGGTGAAGTGTTATCTCACTGTGGTTTTGATTTGTAGTTCCCTAATGACTAATAACACTGGACATCTTTTCATGTGCTTGCTGACCATTTCTGTATCTTCTTTGGTGAAATACCTATTCAAGTCCTTTGTCCATTTTATGATAGGGTTGTCTGTCTTCTTGTGGTTGAATTGTAGGAGTTATTTATATATTCTGGATAGTCAACCCTTACCCAATATATGGTTCTCAGAAATTTTTTCTGAATCTGAAGTTTGTCTTTCCATTGTGTTGATAAGGTCTTTTGATGCACAAGGATTTTTAAATTTTGATGAAGCCCAATGTATCTATTTTGTCCTTTGTTTCTCATATCAAAGAATCCACTGTCAAAAACTTGATCCCAAAGCATTACCCCTTTGTTTTTGAATAAGAATTTTATGGTTTTAGTTCTTACACTTAAGTCATTGGTCCATTTTGAGGAAATGCTCATGATCATTAGCCATCAGAGAAATGCAAATCAAAAATACAATGGGATACCATCTCATGCCAATAAACCTAGCACTAATGCAAAAAACACCAAGTAATAAATGTTGGAGAGGTTGTGGAGAGACTGGAACACTTATACACTGCTGGTGGGAATGTAAAATGGTACAACCACTTTGGAAATCAATTTGGTGCTTCCTTAAAAAGCTAGAAATAGAACTACCATACGATCCAGCAATCCCACTCCTTGGAATAATCCTACAGAAATTAGAGCCATCACACAAATAGATACATGCACACCCATGTTCACTGCAGCACTCTTCACAATAGCAAAAAGACGGAAACAACCCAGGTGCCCATCAACAGACAAATGGATAAACAAATTATGGTATATTCACACAACGGAATACTACGCAACGATAAAGAACAACAACGAATCCCTGAAACGTCTCACAACATGGATGAATCTGGAAGGCATTATGCTGAATGAAATTAGTTAGTTGCAAAAGGACAAATACTGTATGAGACCACTATTATAAGAACTCAAGAAAAGGTTTAAACACAGAAGAAAACATTCTTTGATGGTTACGAGGGTGAGGAGGGAGGGAGAAGGGTATACACTAACTAGATAGCAGACAAGAATTGTCTTAGGTGTAGGGAAGGACTACACACAATACAGGGGAAGTCAGCACCACTGGACTAAACCAAAAGCTAAGAAGTTTCCGGAAAACAACCAAACACTTTGAGGGACAGAGTAGCAGAGGCTGGGGTCTGGGGATCATGGTTTCAGGGGACATCTAGGTCAGCTGGCATAACAAAGTTTATTAAGAATATGTTCTGCATCCCACTTTGGTGAGTGGCATCTGGGGTCTTAAAAGCTAGTAAGCAGCCATTTAAGATGCATCAATTGGTCCCAACCCACTTGGAGCAAAGGAGAATGAAGAACACCAAAGACACAAGGAAAATATTAGCCCAAGAGACAAAAAGGGCCACATAAACCAGAGACTCCATCAGCCTGAGACCAGAAGATCTAGATGGTGTTCGGCTACCACCAATGACCGCCATGACAGGGAACACACAGAGATCCTTGATGGAGTAGGAGAAAAGTGGGGTACAGAACTCAGATTCACATAAAAAGACCAGACTGAGACTAGAGGAACCCCAGAAGACATGGCCCCTGTATTCTCTGTTAACCCAAAACTGAAGCCATTCCCGAAGCCAACTCTTCAAAGATTACACTGGAGTATAAAACATAAAATGATACTCATGAAGAGTGTGCTTTTTAGTTCAGGTAGATAACGAGACTAAATGGGCAACTCTTGTCCGGAGGTGAGATGAGAAGGCAGAAAGGGACAGAAGCTAGTTGAATGGACACGGGAAATCTGAGGTGAAAGGGGAAGTGTGCTATCACATTATACGGATAGCAACTAGGGTCACATGACAATGTGTGTATAAATTTTTGTGTGAGAAACTAACTTGAGCTGTAAACTTTCACCTAAAGCACAAAAAAAAAAAAAAGGAGATTAGAAAGTGGCAGTATCAGGAATACAGACAGATGCAGCTGATTCCATAATCGCTGCCCTAACAACTATATTATTCTTCTACCCTGCTGGTTATAGGTTTGCATAGGTTTCTCACTCTTGAATTTCTTAAACGTTCAGTTCAACATCTGTATGGTTTGTTGTTTCCCCTTGAGATTACCATTTGGTTTACTCAGGAAAACCAACCACAATGAAAAAGGCTGAAAGCAGATAACTTATTGTGTTAACAGCTTGTGTTGCTTCTCTCCAATTCACTCTCCACATTACAGCTGGAAATATTTTTATCGAGTACAAATAAAATCAAGCCATTTTTTAAAAAAAATATATTATTGGTTCCCATTACCCAAAGGATTAAAATCCAAACTTCTTAATATGACATGTTAAGGGACACGATCAAGACACAATTTAACACTCAAATCTTTATCAGTTTCACTCCTAATTTGAATTCAGTTTCCCATGATCCTCTATCTTTGGGTGTGTTGTTACTCCCTCTGCAGGATTTCATTCCCTCTTACTTTGCTAGGGGCCCTGGTGGTGCAGTGGTTAAGTGTTTGGCTGCTAATCAAAAGGCTGGCAGTTCAAATCCACCAGCTGTGCCTTGGAAACCCTATGGGCAGTTCTACTCTGACCTATGGGGTAGCTGTGAGTCGGAATCGACTCGATGGCAACTGGTTACTTTGCTAAGTTCTACTTTGTTTATATGGCCTTCCCTGGACTACCTCCTCTCCTCTGCAAGCACAGAATGCATTCCTCTTGCATTTTTACCATTATAGCATTTGCCATGGTATATTATAATCACCTATCCACTTGTCCAAACCCCCAGTTGAAAAGTCCTTGAAGGAAGTAATATGCCTTATTCACCTTTGAAGCCTCAGTCCCTAGCACAGTGCTTGGCACGTTATAGGGCTTAAAAACATAACCTCTGAATAAACTGGATGGTACCCGGCTACCATTACTGACGTTTTGATCAAAGATACTATCGAAGAATCCTGATCAAAAGTAAGAAAATGCAGAACAGAACTTCAAATTATCATAGGATCCAGACATTATGGAGCCATTGAGGCTGGTTGAACCCCAAAATTATTTTCCTTAGATAATCTTTTAACAAACAAAAAATAAAACCCTGAAGTCTTCTTCAAACCAAACAATAGTTTAGCTTAACTAGTAAAGAATGTCTGCCTTGAGCATTGTGCCCTTTTAAGAACTATCTATATGGGATCAAACTGACAACAGCAACTTGAAAGATTAGCTAGGAACCTTAGGGGGCAGTGAGTTTATGTTAATGAGGGAGGAGCAACTAGGAAAAGGAAGGTGAGAACGGTCGCACAGCTTGAAGAAGGTAATCAGTGTCACTGAATTGCACATGTAGAAATTTAGTTGGTGTATGTTCTGTTGTATATATTCTCAACAACAACAAAAAATAAACTTAAAAAATAATTCATGAATAAATTATTGAGCTAATAGTTTTGGTTCAGTAAACTAACATGATATACATAACAATATAAACAAAGCAATCTATTTGTGAAAGACAATGTTCTATCATTTAACATTGAGATTTCCATAATAGGAATAAACACGCAAAAATTGTCAGAGTATTTAGAACCATTTTTTTTTATGGCATCAATAAGTTTTGCTTTAAAAGCAGTAGCTAAACTCTTTCTGGTAAAATAAGTATGCTTACTTTTTTAGATATTTGAAACATAAAATTTTATTGGTAGTCATATATACAAAAGTATTCAGGATGCCATGAGTAATCAAAACTTTAAAATAATTCCAGATACCTCTCCTAGGAATTCACTTTCTTCCTCTCGAACTCGAGCTTGATCCCAAAGGGTAATCTCTAGCATTCGTTCTCGAAATTCTCTTCGGTGGACTGGAGAATAAATGAACGTTTGGTTCCATTTGGGTTCCAATGTTTTCTTTACTGTTTTAGTTCTTCTCTTGTTTTTATCGCTATGAAAAATAATTTAAAAGAAATGTGGGAAGTTATATTAATCTTTAAGTTTTACAGTAATTTTATTAATTTTAAATTTCTCAGGAGTGAAATCAAGTGACGTTTCACAAATTTACCATAAAATTACAAGTATGATAATCTTTAAAATTAGTATTAAAATCTATAAGGTATGTAATTATATCATAATTTATAAGTGTGTCTTCATAACGACAATATATGAGCAAGTCTGAAATTATTCCATTATAAATAATTGAAAACTTAAATCTTTCTCAACATCTAAATAAAACCTGACTGGAGAATATTAACTCTGAATTTTTTTTGTATATCACTCTTTTGGAAATCTTCAAAATGGTGATTAAGCAATAATATTACATATACTATTCACTTAAATTACAGAAGTCTTGTTCTACAAAATAAATTGTGACCTTCACAACGTAATACAATTTATCTAATATGCAATTATAGTTCACATTTTATCAAGTTACTTTATTATATACAAGAAATAGGTACTTGTTTATTTAACATATATCATATCCTTAAAAACACTGTGAAATTACTCTTACGTGAGGTAACCCCTATAATGTGGGTTGGAAATGCAAAGTAGCCATACTGACAGATAAGACTTCAGGCTCACAGGTTTCTGTACTTTTTTAAATTGCACATCTTTATCAGTGAATGTTCTTGACTATGCATTATATACACATGTATTTATGAATTATGGAGCCCTGGTGGCACAGTGGTTAAGAGTATGGATGCTAACTAAAAGGTCGGCAGTTCGAATCCACCAGCCGCTCCTTGGAAACCCTATGGGGCAGTTCTGCTCTGTCCTATCAGGTCTATAGGGTCTGTAGGAGTCAGCGTCGACTTGATGGCAATTTTTTTTTTTAATGAATTATATACATTTATTCTAATATGTCATGTACATTGGGAAATATACAAAAATAGAAATTAAAATAATGAGATAAATAAGAATTCAAACACTTCTTCCTAACCCCTGTGGACTTCCTCAAACATCCTCTAGGCTCCATCCATCCTAATTTGAAGATCACCACTCTAACTTATTAGAGAGGGTTGATGGCTAGATGGAATAAATGTAATCATTTAGGAAGGAAAATTTAAGCTCTCTTCCCGAGTGATAAAACTAGATTGATACAGTCTACTGGATATCACTGGAGACTTTCGGCTGTTGTTGTTAGGTGCTATCCAGTCGATTCTGACTCATAGCGACCCCATGTACAACAGAATGAAACACTACACAGTCCTGCGCCATCCTCACAATCATTGCTATGTTTGAGACCATTGTTGCAGCCACTGTGTCAATCCATCTCGTTGAGAATCTTTCTTTTTCCCTGACCCTCTACTTTACCAAGCATGATGTCCTTCCCCAGGGACTCATCCCTCCTGATAACATGTCCAAAGTATGTAAGACAAAGTCTTGCCATTCTTGCTTCTAACGAGTATTCTGGCCATACTTCTTCTAAGACAGATTTGTCTGTTCTTCCAGCAGTCAGTGGTATATTCAATATTCTTCACCAACACCATAATTCAAAGCTATCAATTCTTCTGTCTTCCACATTCATTGTCCAGCTTTCGCATGCATATGAGGTGATAGAAAATACCATGGTTTGGGTCAGGCGCACCTTATTCCTTAAAGTGATATCTTTGTTTTAAGATCTTTTGCAGCAACAGGGGAACAGCATTAATTTTAATTAAAATTGAAAAAAAAGAAATACGTTTTGACTAGCAACCAAATTTACCTCAAGATGTAAAAAAAAGAATGTACAGCATGCCAAGTTATTTTTTAGAGTACAGAGTATATTATTAAAAAAACCAAAACCAAACGCATTGCCGTCTATAAAAAACTAACAATCCGTTGCCGTCGAGTTGATTCCAACTCATAGAACCTTATAGGACAGAGTAGAACTGTTTCATAATGTTTCACAGGAGTGGCTGCTGGATTTAAAATGCAGACCTTCTGGTTAGCAGTCAAGCTCTTAACCATTACAGTATATAGTAAATAATTTTTTAAATGGCTTAACTGACATTCTAAACTAGATCTGTAGCCTCACCTTTCCCTGTAGGAATTCTCATCAATTAAAGTTATCAATTGTTTTCTTACGTTCAACTGTGCAAGTCATTTTTTTCCAGAAAAAAAAGTCACGAGAAATGAAATAGAATAATTCATACCAAAAGCACAAATAATCCTTTATTTATGTGCAAAAACTTGCATCAACAGTAAATACGTATTTTTTTTTGTGTGTGTGTATATATATATATATATACCCATGCATCTGTCAGTTTGTCGTATTGTGGGGGCTTGTGTGTTGCTGTGATGCTGGAAGCTATGCCACCGGTATTCAGATACCAGCAGGGTCACCCATGGTGGACAGGTTCAGCTGAGCTTCCAGACTAAGAAGAAGGATCTAGCAGTCTACTTCTGAAAAGAATTAGCCAGTGAAAACCTTATTAATAGCAGTGGAACACTGTTTGATACAGTGCCAGAAGATGAGCTCCTCAGGTTGGAAGGCACTCAAAAGATAACTGGGAAGAGCTGCCTCCTCAAAGTAGAGTCAAACTTAATGACGTAGATGAGTCAAGCTTTCAAGACCTTCATTTGCTAACATGGCATGACTCAAAATGAGAATAAACAGCTGAAAACATCCATTAATAATAAGAACTTGGAATGTACGAAGTATGAATCTAGGAAAATTGGGAATTATCAAAAATGAAACAGAACACATAAGGATCAATATCTTAGGCATTAGTGAACTGAAATGGACTGGTATTGGTCATTTTGAATTAGACAATCACATGGTCTACTATGCCGGGAATGATAACTTGAAGAGGAATGGCATTGCACTCATTCTCAAAAAGAACATTTCACGATCTATACTGAAGTACAACGCTATTAGTAACAGGATAATATTCATATGACTACAAGGAAGAGCAGTTAATATGACTATTATTCAAATTTATGCACCAACCACTGAGGCCAAAGATGAAGAAATTGAAGATTTTTACCAATTTCTGTAGTCTGAAATTGATAAAACTTGCAATCAGGATGCGCTGATAATTACTGGTGATTGGAATGCGAAAGTTGGAAACAAGAGTTGGTAGTTGGAAAATATGGCCTTGGTGATAGAAATGATGCCAGAGACTGCATGACTGAATTTTGCAAGACCAATGACTTCTTCATTGCAAATACCTTTTTTTTCACCAACATAAATGGTGACTATATAAATGGATCTCACCAGATGGAATACACAGGAATCAAATAGATTACATCTGTGGAAAGAGACGATGGAAAAGCCCAATATCATCAGTCAGAACAAGGCCAGGGGCCGACTATGGGTCAGACCATCAATTACTCATACGCAAGTTCAAGCTGAAACTGAAGAAAATTAAAACAAGTGCACGAGAGCCAAAGTACAACCTTGAGTATATCCCACCTGAATTCAGAGACCATCTCAAGAATAGATTTGACGTGTTGGACACTAATGACCAAAGACCAGATGAGTTGTGGAATGACATAAAGGACATCATATATGAAGAAAGCAAGAGATCATTAAAAAGACAGGAGAGAAAGAAAAGACCTAAATGGATGCCAAAAGAGACTCTGAAACTTGTTCTTGAATGCCGATTAGCTAAAGCTAAAGGAAAAAATGATGAAGTAAAAGAGCTGAAGATTTCAAAGGATGGCTCGAGAAGACAAAGTAAAATATTATGATGACATGTGCAAAGACCTGGAGACAGAAAACCAAAAGGGAAGAACACGCTCTGCATTTCTCAAGCTGAAAGAACCAAAGAAAAAATTCAAAGTCTCGAGTTGCAATACTAAAGGATTCTATGGGGAAAATATTAAACAACACAGGGAGCATCAAAAGAAGATGGAAGGAATACACAGAGTCACTATACCAAAAAGAACTGCTCTACGTTCAGCCATTTCAGAAGGTAACCTATGATTAGGAACTGATGGTACTGAAGGAAGAAGTCTAAGCTGCACTGAAGGCATTGGCGAAAAATTAGGCTCCCAGGAATTGATGGAATACTAATTGAGATGTTTCAACAAACAGATGCAGCACTGGAAGTGCTCACTCCTCTATGCCAAGAAATTTGGAAGACAGCTACCTGGACAAAGGACTGGAAGAGATCTGTATTTATGCCTATTCCCAAGAAAGGTGATCCAACCGAATGCAGAAATTATCGAACAATATCATTAATATCACATGCAAGCAAAATTTTGCTGAAGATCATTCAAAAGCGGCTGCAGCAGTGGGTCAACAGGGAACTGTCAGAAATTCAGGCCACATTTAGAACAGGACATGGAACCGGGAATATCATTGCTGATGTCAGATGGATCCTGGCTGAAGGCAGAGAATACCAGAAAGATGTTTACCTGTGTTTTATTGACTATGGTAAGGCATTAGATTGTGTGGATCATAACAAATTATGGGTAACATTGTGGAGAATGGGAATTCTGGAACACTTAATTGTGTTCATAAGGAATCTGTACATGGATCAAGAGGCAGTTGTTCGAACAGTACAAGGGGATACTGCATGGTTTAAACTCAGGAAAGGTGTGCGTCAGGGTTGCATCCTTTCACCATACCTATTTAATCTGTATGCTGAGCAAATAATCCGAGAAGCCAGACTATATGAAGAAGCACAGGGCATCAGGATCGGAGGAAGATTCGTTAACAACCTGCGTTATGCAGATGACACAACCTTGCTTGCTGAAAGTAAAGAGGGCTTGAAGCACTTACTGATGAAGATCAAAGACCACAGCCTTCAGTATGGATTACACCTCAACATAAAGAAAACAAAAATTCTCACAACTGGACCAATAAGCAACATCATGATAAATGGAGAAAAGATTGAGGTTGTCAAGGATTTCATTTTACTTGGATCCACAATCAATGCCCATGGAAGCAGCAGTCAAGAAATCAAAAGATGCACTGCACTGGACAAATCTGCTGCAAAAGACCTCTTTAAAGTGTTGAAAAGCAAAGATGTCACCTTGAGGACTAAGGTGGGCCTGACCCAAGCCATGGTGTTTTCAATTGCCTCATAGGCACGCGAAAGCTGGGCAATGAATAAGGAAGACCGAAGGAGAATTGACACCTTTGAATTGTTCTGCTAGTGAAGAATATTAAATATACCATGGATTGCCAAAAGAACAAACAAATCTGCCTTGGAAGAAGTACAACCAGAATGGCCCTTAGAAGCAAGGATGGCGAGGCTACATCTCACATACTTTGGACATGTTATCAGGAGGGCTCAGTCCCTGGAGAAGGACATCATGCTTGGTAAAGTAGAGGGTCATCGAAAAAGAGGAAGACCCTCAATGAGATGTATTGATACAGTGGCTGCAACAGTGGACTCAAGCATAGCCACAATTGTGAGGATGGCGCAGGATCGGGCAGTCTTTCATTCTGTTTTGCATGGGGTCACTATGCATCGGAACCTACTCGATGGCATGTAACACACACACACACACACACACACACACACACACACGTATATTTGAGATGATAGTTTCTGAGTTATGCAAAGAATACGTTTTTCTATTAAAGACAAAACCTTGATACAATCCAATTAACAAAGTAAGCTCATAATATGCCTAAATATTCTTCAAATTCCTGATAATTGACAAGGAAACTCAGTAGAGAAATAAGCTAAGAAGAAAATATGCAAATAATCCTCACATACTTTGTGTTGAAAAAGGATAGAAACACTACATCTGGAAAATAAAGGAGTAGTCAATGGGAGCCTCCTTTTCATTTTAGTTCTGTAATATCTCCTCAGAAAGCAGGGACAAGATCACGTAAAATAAAATAAAATTACACGATAATAGTCCAGAAAGAAATTTGGTAATTTGGGAAACTTATCACCTTAAAAAATAAGTATTTCTCTTTAAAGATTTGAGTATAAACTTAAGTTACGGGTGTACATAAAAGCATAAACGGGAATGCAGCATTTTCTGCAGGTTTTCACCATGGCCTTCCAAGGATGCTAAGACTAGTAAACCGTATGTGCTCTAAAAAGACAAGAGACTTGGCTGACTTAGATAGCAGATTAACTTCGCTGTGGGATGAGTCATCCAACTGAAGTTTAAGCTAGACATAACAGAATCAACTCGATGGCAACTAACAACAACAGTTGTGAGACATCTTCTTCCTCTCTTACTGTTCCAAGTGTGTCCCTCTCAAAAGACAAGTTGTTAGAGAACAACTTTCTTCAAGCAAAGTTTATAAGTTAAAATTTTATAACAATAGTTTCTAATGACTAGATATTATGATACCTTGACACATTCTGAGGAAATTTATTTTACAACTTTTCACTTTGAAATATGTATCTTTGTTGATTGTCTATTTCCTTTCTTTTGTTCTTTTTTTGCTAAGACTGTTGTTTAGTTGATACTTTGGCACTCAACTCAACCCTGATGATGTCTTACTTGAACTCAGTAACTGAAAATGAGGGTCCAATAGTAGTCAAAAATATGATTTAAGATCTCATCTGTGGCCAGCCACTTACAATTTTGGAAATAAATGACCAAATCTTGATAACAGTCTCCCCTGGAAGTCAGAGATAGAGAATAGCTGGGGAAAGCATAATTAGTGCCATTACTTCCTTCTTTTTTCATGATGCCTAATGAATAGTCTCTTATTTTTTATGTGCTTGAAATTAAGAGTGATTAAAGAATTTTCGTTATACTATTTCTCAGTCCTAATTTCTCTATTTAAATTAGGGTAGAACAATGCCATTTATGTGGATTAGAATGGATACAGAACAAATGATGCTTAAAAAGTTGATTTTGAACTCAGCGATAAAAGTTTCTTGGTGACATGGAGTGATACAAAACAAAGCTATATGTTAATTTTACAGAATATAGAGAAATAATATCTTGGTAAGAGGAGGTTGAAATTGCAGTGAAATACGATGAGTCCCTTTTGCTAGTATTTCCAGCTTTTTGCTTCTGTAGTTTTTGTTAAAATGCATTTGATTTAAAGGGACATAATTTTAAATTATTTTGATAAATAAAAACATACATTATTTAAATAATAATCCACATAAGCCTAAAATAGATATAAAATAATATATACAATAAAAATTTGATACGCATTTTAAAACAATCTCATTAAAGTATTTACTGTCATGCATAATTTTGATTCTTAAAAGGTATTGTTTATATTAAACTTCAAAAGTATCTTAATGTCATGCAATTGAAATATAAATAATACAGAATTGAAATATCCACTGCTATTAACATTTTCCCACATATTTCCAAGAGCATTTATTTTGTTTCATACCCTACCTTCTGTCTGGAAGAAAGTAAATTTTAACGTAAGGATTCCTCGGCCTCCCATCTTCCCTGGAAAGAAGATCCTTTGCTCCCAAAATTGTAACTATCAATTGGTGACCAACCTTGTCAAACCACAGTTTTATCTGAAAAGCAAAAATATTAACTTATCAACTCAAATATTTACGACCATAAGATAATGCTTATATTCCCAATCTCCACCTCAGTCTCTTACACTAATATTAGCACAGAATATAAATTTCACTTAGTAAACTGCGGTTAGTTAAAATAAAAGGATATGCTATAATAACTTCAATGAATAGAAGAATTAACTGAGATATTTTGATTTGGTTGGTCAATCCCTTGGACTTTTTGTTTACCCCAATTTGATTGCTTGTTAACGTGCACGTAATAATAAATGCACATAAAAATATCATAACTAAGGGCTTTATATGCAATGATTGCAAGAATCGCTGTTGTTCATTTTGGTTACCCTATGATTTGTGAGTTCAGAATAAATGCTCAAAATGAATGAGTAGATCCAAGTTTATATAGCTTGCATAGGGAATTTTTAAGCAAATGTTTTATGCTATTCCATAACAAAAGACATTTCGAAGATTATAAGCAAGGAATAATTTACTCGCAGCTTTAGTCAATAGACTCCTTCACTCTGTAGTTAAAACTAATAAATTCATCTTGTATAAATTTTTTTTACACAAGCATAAAATCTTTTTCTTTTGTGAAGCAAATGTATATCAAATCATTAGAACAATAGTGTACATTTTATAATTTGATATGAGAAAATGTAAATAATTTCCCTATGCCATAGGTAAGGATTGGAACTTCACATCCAGCTGTTGAACTCATTTGATATCACAGTTGCCCCTTGCCCCCACACTCATATCTCACACCCTCACACCTACCCAGTTAATTCTACTATTTCAGGATCTGTGATAACCTGGCTCTGCCCCACATCTTGGTTCAGAACTCAGTAAACTTATGACCACTATCCTGAAACTGAAACCGAACTGGATATTAGGAATTTGAGAATGACAAATAAAAACAACCTTGATTATATATTTAACACTGGTAGTTCAGCTCCAATTCCAACATGGCTTTGTTGAGTCCCTCACTTCATATCCTAGAAAATGGGGAACTGAGCAAGATTTTTGAGTCAGAAGAGGAGGACTGATGGCCCAGAAGAGCACATAAAATTATTTATATACATGTTTTTGTTCTGTTTTGTTTTTTGTCAAGTGGAATTAGCCCTCTTATAGGAATAATAGTGAAAAAATACTTAAACTTTAAAAATTATAATTATTAATTTTTATGTTGCCTTAAGTTCTTATGCTCAATGCAGGTATTGTTGTGTAACAAAAAAAAAAAAAAAAATTCTAATGGAGGTGCTAAATACAAAGAGACCCTAGACAGATATTTCTCAGAATGTGGTTTACAAACCCCTGCATCAGTATTATCTGGCTTACTTAATAAAAAATTATAAATTCTTGGGGTTCATTTTTCACCTACTGTATCAGAATGGGGTCCAGGAATTGCATTTTAACAAGTCCTCCAAGTGATTCTCATGTGCATTAAAGTTGGAGAACCACTGCCTTAAACTAAGGGATAAGTAACCTGAGAAAAAAAATTCTTACTATTAAAAAAGAAAAAAGAAGTTCAAATACTTGTTACCTAACATATTAGAACACAGATACAGATTAGTATAAGAGAAAAAATAAAAGACTAAACTATTTTTCTGGCCAAAAGCATGAGTGGAGAACAAAGAAAGAAATACTGAGGTGTCTCATTGTATATGAGATGAAATAGAGACATTGTCGGATAGCTCTGTGGTTTCTCTAATATGCATGAGCAAAATGAGATTGTTATGATATTTTCTATCTTTATAGTAATAAAAGAGTTTAGGACTTTAATTTTTCCATGGTATGAAAAGCCCTTCTCTAAGCATCATGATATGAACATTAAGCACCTCAAACAGAAAAACATTCTAAAAGGCTAAAAATATTTTTCCAATAACCTTCACACTTAAGAAACATATAAATAATAATTACTGTTATCAGAATAAATTCATAATTATTGTAGCAAATTATGTATTTCTCTTAAAAAATTTTTGAGGAGTTGAAACTACTTATTATTTCCACAGGAAATACTTTTTACTTCTTTAAAATCATTAGAGCTAAACATTTGAGATACATTTTTCAAGTATTCTTTTCAGATTTTCTTATGCCATGAAAACCAAAAATATCACTTATTAATATTATCATTTTTCATAAAAACAGATATTAGGCTTATAGCGTTTATACTTAACAGTGTAGTAAATTATGCTTTACAAATATGTGGATGTCTAAATATCTTAGATAGGAAACAGGTACATTTTGATTTTACTGATTATGTGATCAAAATTATACTTTTTAAAATAAATTGTCTTATATTGGGCATTTGATCAATAGCTCTAGCTTTTATTCCAGAACAGAGGACTTGCATTGAAGTTTTTAATAGATATCCAGTTCACATCATCAAAACTGAATTTTTATTTTTTACTATATTATTTTATCACATTCCTAAATTTCTTATCTGTGCTTTATAAACGAATTGTGAAAATATAGCTGTTGATTCCCCAAAATATAATAAATGTATCTTCACAATTCTAGACCTGACATACTTTTTGTTATACTTGAATTTCATTAATAAAAATGTTGATATAATTTTAATTATTTTAATGTAATTATCATTTCAACTTCACCATGTAGCCATTTTCAGTTTTCCTAAGCAGAACATAAGCAACAGAGGTAAATATCTTACACTGTATAATATTAACTAGAAGAAGTCTAATTTTTAAAATTTAAACAAAACTAGCATTATTCAAAACCAACAAAATAAAAAAACATGCGGCAAAGCAAGGAAAGCATACTACTACTTTTTTTAAAAAGCTATATTTACATTACTTTACCACATAAGGTTTTCCTAATGAAAAGAGGCAAACAACTTGTACCCAAGTATTACAGTAAAGTTAAACAGAATTACAATGACAAAATGTAAACAAAATAAACCCAATACATTTTATTTGGATAGTTATTTTGTTCTTTCAAAATAATATACTTTACAAAAGTTGGAACTTATATAAAATATACATAAAATTAATATTTTAGATAAGGTACAAATATATTTGCCAATCTCCTCAAGGACTTATTGCTTGGAAAATGCAAGAGAATGTAGATGATAAGTGATATAATGAATGATTTAAAGAGACAGCAAACAGGAAAATATTAGCAGCATAAAATTAGCTATTTCTGTGGAATCTACATAATATCTACATTAAATGCCACTCGGAAACCTATGAGTTTGAGTATTCGGTTCATCACATAAAATCACTAACAAAGTTTGTCTCTTTAAATTTTTGTTCAATATTTTAATCCCCATGCAGAATTTTACAAGCTGGCTCATTTAATGATTTGAAAGTCAATAATATGGTTTAGAGCACATACCAAAAAAATGTTTTCCTACTACGCATTTTCCAAAAACATACAAATAAGGATTGAAACACAACTTTAGTTTCTATCAGGCAGACAAGGCCTTTACCTGAACCCTAGGAACAAAAGGCGTTGTTCTTCTACTAAGGCTTTGGCTCTGGTAAGCAAAATTAAAGAAAAAAGCAATAAAACAAAACCAAAAGGACAAGACGCTAGAACTAAAGACCAAAAGTAAAAACAAACACATACAACTATCCCTTTAAATACAATTTTTCCATGACAATATTAATCTAAATTAAGCACTTCAATGTAATAAATACATTAGTTTTGTTAAAATGCTAAACTATATAAAAGTATACAAAATATTAGAAAATGTTTAATCATATTTTTAAAATATAATCAACATAAAGGAATTAAGACTGAATGTAAAATAACATGTGGGTTTGTATATTCTGAAAGAATGATTGTAAACATACCCAAGAATCATGAAATTCCAGGTTTTACCCTTAAACGCATCACATAGAAAAAAACCACAGTCCCAAAATTTGATATATATCATATCGGTATTAGTAAAAAGCCATCTGTGGAAGTAACTGTATGACTTTTTCAAAATAATTAAGTCTAACAGAAGTCCAAGAAATATTAGCCAAGTTAACTTTAGGATTTCTTAAAAGAATAAACACAGTAGGATAGAAGTGTGCTGTACTGCACTGCATTAATAGTTAGTACTTAAACACCATCTTCACACATTTATTATGTACCATTCGAGAAAACACTGTTTATTTCTAGTCATACCTATTAATGAAAAATAATATCTCATTTCTTATATAATTTTTTATATTTTTCCAGATCTTTCAAGTTTATTGTCTCATGATATTCCTAACAATCCTAGGAGGTAGTTGCTATTATCTCCAATTTTTAGATAAGGAAACAGAGACATTTAAAAAAAAAGGCTAGATAAACCTGCCCAGACTCATACAAAAAGCAAGATAATGTAAGGGCATTTCAAAAAGAGTTGTTTGGAGTAAATCAAATTCTCAGAATAAAATCAAGTTTCCTTTCTCTGCTGACTTTGTTTTTTTGTTTTCACTTTTAAACAGTTTCCAAAGGAGACCACTGTAATTGGAATATGATGTGTCTTTATTAAAGCATGCCAACAGTTAAATTACAAACAAAATCAGACACGTCTCTGGGTTTGGGAACGGATTTCAAAGGATTTATTTCTGCTTTTCTCACCTAGATTATATCTCATCTCTCACATGTCTCATGGATATCTCTCATCTAATTCAAAAAGTGAAAAACAGTTAAAGGCTTCCCACTTTTCCACTGTTAAATGGAAACAGATAATTGGTACTAAGAGGACTATTGCCCAATTCAACTATCATCAGATAGTCACTGCTTAAGACACAAATCTAAAACCCAAAGGGAAGTAGGCCTTAAATATAAGCATTATTTCATTCAATCATACAAATCATCTTTTTCTCTTTCTCCAGAAATCAAGGCAGTCTCAAAATATAAGCTGTCTTTCTTTTTGTGTGGAGCTATTACCAAAGGAAAACAGAAATGTATAGAGATTTAAGTTGTTACTAACCTCTGCATAACTATAGGTTGGATAATTCTTTAGTAAATGGGAAAGAGGATGTATGAAAATCAGAAATTAACTAGGCATGTTGAAGGAAGGAAATGACAAGATTTTCTATTTTGAAACGGATTTTATTTTCCCTGCCCCCTCGCCTATTCTACCTGTATTGGACCAAAAATATTAAGGATAATTGAAGATTTTTTCAAGTAAATATTATATATTCATGAAACAAGGAATATGCTTACAAAGAATACCATTGTAAATAAATTAATCCATTAAGACAAACATTTTTCTATCTTCTAAAATTGTCTCTAACAAGAAACTCACAAATTTCTGAAATCAACCTTCTAAATTCTACGGCAAGTTAGACTTAATCTTCACCCATGAGTTTATACATTATATTGGCTACTGAAACATGTTTTTGGCAGTTTTAATAAAGAAAACCATTAGGAATAGTAAAGTACTATGTACCTCATTGTAATTTACATTAATTTACCTATTTTAAGCATGGAAGATCTGATAATATTTATAACTATTCAAACTTCATCAAATGAACAATTTTAATTGTACATTACAATTTATTTTGCATTTTTAATGTCACTTCCTACTATTTACTGTACTATTATCTTTAGGGAGCCCTGTGGCACAGTGGTTAAGAGCTCAGCTGCTAACCAAAAGGTCAGCAGTTCAAATCCACCAGCCGCTCCTTGGAAACCCTATGGGGCAGTTCTACTCTGTCCTATAGCGTCGCTGAGTCGTAATTGATTTGACAGCAAAAGGGTTTTATTATCTTTAGGACATTCCTTTCATGTAATGCTTCTGGAAAAACAAGGTTATGATAAAGAACTGTAAAAGACAAAAGCTCAAAAAAAAAAAACTTTCATTTACAGAAAGCTTAAAAAAGTTCTAAAGATATTTAGAGGATACACACCTATTCTTTGGTTTCTTATTCCCTTTAAATGGGCATATAAAACGGATACTTACAATATTTATAAACTCAATCACTAAAAATCGAGTCAGAAAGTGTTAAAATAACTTGGGGAAACATTGCAACCATAAATCAACACAGAGCCTGAAGTGAAATAAAATATGACGATCAATAAAAATCAATTGTGTAATAGATTCCCATAGCAAGAAAGGGTTCTGACTCTTTTCTGCCTTTTAAAAGAATTGAAGGCTATTTGTTTTATCTTAACACCCTATCAAAAAACTAACCAAAGACTACAAATTAATTAAAGGCTATTGAGAGAATTATGAACACAATCCTCTAAAGAAGGAAATGGTTAAATTATGATAGAACACAAATAAGAAAGAATCAAAATAAGGGAGTGCTGACGCTGCAAGGGCTATCATATAACTCAGATAGCCTAAGCCTAAGCTCAAACTGATTTTTTCACCAAATACATTAATGGTCCTTTCATAGTTACGTCCTAGAATGAAAAACAAGCAGCATAATTCAAGCATGGAGAGAAAATGAATTGCATACATTTTCTTAAAAATCTTCAAAATCTTCTTGAGATTGAAAATTTAAACAACAAATTTGCATTATATGTATATTTTCTACTTGAGAAAATATTAATCTGTGAACTGATAGAAATATATTAAGAAGATTAGCTCACATACTATACAAATCATCCTTGTTGTCTGGAATTACCGTCAGCAATATCAGAATTTTGTAAGAGAGATGTCGGCCCAAAGTAAAATCTCACCAATAGCAAAAATGACGAAAGGTAGAAAAGAAGGAAATAGAGATTGCAATGTAGCCTTGTGACTTCCTAGGGTTCCTTCTCTAGGGGTGACATATATAAACATATTTTGCCAACCTCTGCATCACTAGGGTAAACCAAAACTGTCACCAGTCCAGCAGAGATAGAGTTGAATACGAAGAGAAACATTACATCCAGGAAGGTAACTTGCTTATGTTTTCCTGGATGCAAAGGATAAGATACAATTAATAAGCTTCATGAGGGGAAAGATCATGCATACCTCGTTCACTGTTATATTTCCAGAGACTACCACTGTGCCTGACCTGGGATCAGAACTTAACACACATTTCCTAATGATTGGATTTTAATTGGTAAAAACATTTTCTGGAGGAAAATTTGGCAATAGATTTCAAAAAATCTTAAAAATTCTCTTTTCTCTTTTATATTATAAATTTATTTTTAGAAAGTTATCCTGACAAAAGATTTTTGTCCTAACAAAAATATTCAAGACTTATATTCAAGGATTTCCAAAGCATGATCATTTATAACATAAAATTAGAAACAAGCAAGATATCCTATAATAGAGAAGTAAGTTATAATGGAGTATTAAGTTATCTATTAAAATCATTTTAAGAGAAACTTTTAAAGAGAGAGAAAAGTCTATACTATACTACTAAGTGAAAAAGCAGGCTCCAAAATATTATGTACAGAACTATTCCAATTTTGTTTAAAAATTTCTATGTATATGAGCGGTTATATCTTAATGGTAAGATTACAGGTGAGTTTCATTTTTATTTTTCTGTACTTTCCAAGTTTCCCACAATATATATGTATTATATTTTTAATCAGAAAGTGGCTTTATGTATATATACAGATTTATGTATATATATAGACATATATATGATTTCAAATGCATACATATGAAGCTAAAACTTTTACTACTAATACCATAAAAGCTAAAATTTTACTACCAATATTATACTAGAACATATTCCTTCCAAGTCATAAGAAAATGATAAAACGAGAACCATTTTAAATTACAATTACATGGATCTTAAACCAACATTATTTCTAAATCTAAAGGCTATAACTTTACACAGTTATATATACATTTAGAAGTGAAACTTTTAAATTTAATTTTCCCTAAATATTTAATAGTCTTTCCTTTCTACCATAACAGTACTGAACCATGAAGAAAAATAGCTGAATTTCAAATGTCTACACCCCTGCATTATTCCCCTCAACTTCTCCTCCTAGTTCAATTTCTCATAGGGCCTTGGGATTTCAAATGTCATAAAGTGGTACTTATTATGGAAATTCAATTGCCCCTCCCTCCTCCATCAACTCAATCCAACTGAACGCACACACAAACACACATACAGATGGATTTATTTATTTACTGACATGATCCAGCCACCTGGAGCATTATTTAAAGATGGACTATTTGATGAGGTCATAAATAAAATATAACAGCTAGCATTTATTAGCACTTTCTAAATTGGTAGAAGCAATTACATACTACATTTGTAACTCTGTAAATGACAACATCTGTGCTGTCAATATATGCAAGAGAGTAAGTAGAAAGATGCTATTTATTGTGGAGAATAGAAAAAAGACCACTGTCCTCAAATAAAAAAGCCCACTCTGTTTATGAAAGAGAAAGGAAAATAAAATAAGGAGAAGGAATTCAATTCAGTATAACATTTAAAATCTCCTAATAAAATCTCATCTTCTTTCCAGAATAACTTTACTATCACCTTTGTGATCAAAATATTACCAGTACCAAGATGTTTAATAACTTTTCAATAATTTTTAATATTTAATTTTTCTTAAACTTTCAACAGCTCATTTTAAATTAAATACTTCACTAAAAATCAAGCACCTCTCTATCCACCAAAATAATAAAATAAGAAATTTCATAGCTTCTTTAACAAAAAGTTTTTTTTCCATTGCTCTTAAAATATCAGTACCAGAATAGTTTAGTTTTTAACTATAACATTTTTCATCCAAAATTCAGTGTCTGGATTTAGAGAACCTAAATAGTCAATATTCATAAAATTTCAGGTATAGTAACTCATCAATATTATTGGCAATATTAAACTGTATATTTCTGAAATATAACTGAATACACTTAAATATATGAATATTTTTATTTAACAAGGGGATGACAACTGAACAAATACTATAATTAGTTTTTGTTAAATGTGTTTTGTTAAAATGTGAAGGCTAAAATTTGCAAAGCTTTTCTAACTTGGACATGTATTTTAGCTTTACTAAAAAATGTTCAAATTAAACATCATGTACTGTGAAACTTCCTGGTGTACTCAGAAATCTATGAAATATTTCACCATTTATTTGGTTTTGTCTGTTGACATAATCATCTCTAATATCATTATACTTCAGAGCAGTATTCACACCCCATATTTCCTTAAGGTTGAAAAGTGGGGAAGAATATAAAAATATTTATTTTTATCTTACATTCCATCTTTGTAGAGCACAGCATTTTACTTCTCTTCAAAATGTGATAGATTATAGTCATTTTAAGATACAGAGTTAAAACCATGACCTTGAATTTTGGAATAATATTAATGAGATTTAAAGAAATGGTTTAGATATCTTTACAAAATCTAATTCACTAAATCCCAGAAAACCTAACACTAATAAAGAATGCAACAAGCTGAATAATCAAAATAAAATTTCAAATAATTAAAATTACTAAAAATGAGAAAGTTGATGGTTAAAAGCACAATTATATTCTAGGAAGAAGTTGGTTTACAAAAAAAAAGAAAAGGTAGCATCAAATGTTAAAGACACTATTTGATATTCCAAAAAGATAAATTAATTTAGTGATTACATACTGAAAGTTGTCCAGATAAGAACTGTGGAACATCCCTCAACATGCCAGGACTCATGGGAGAGGTAACGGAAATAGAAGGACGATCCATTTTTTGAGATTCAAATGAGCTAGAACCTGAAATGGTAATTGTACATAAGGAATAATAACAGTGGTTCTTCATTATAATTTAACAATCTTCATAATTTATAAAACTATTTTTTACAATGTTGACAAAGTATTATGTAGACCATTTTCTTAACTACACTGTTTGAAACATGAGACGATATTTTAAAGTACAAAGCTATGTCATTGCAAAAGAACTTCACCTTCTGGTAAAGCTTTTCAAGAAGCTTTATAAATACTTATAATTGTAAATTTAAACATAAAAAATATTTATTTTCATAGTATATTCTCAATTATTATGTACATAGAGAATCCAATCACTTCTTACCACCTTCATTGTTACTACCATGGTCTAAGTCACCATCTTCTCCTGATTAGATTAAGACAATGCTCTCACTGATCTCCCTGCTTTTACCTTTGACCCCATTAAATCTATTCTCAATATAATAGTCAGATTTTAAAACATAAATCTCTCCTCAAAACCATCCCATATAGTTCCCAATTTCCCTCAGAGTAATAACCAAAGTCCTTGCAGGGGCTTGTAAAGCCTATGCAGTTTGGTCACCCATGACTCCTCTATCCTCCTCTCCTATCTCACCCTGTTCATACCTTTGCAACCACACTGGTCTCCTTGCTTTGCTTCAAGTGCATCTCAGGCTCCCCTGCCTTAGACCCATCATAGCAGTCAGTTCTTCTACCTGAAAAGTTTTCTCCCAGATACTACTCTTTCAATTCTTTGCTCTAATCCTTTCTTCTCAGTGTGTTCAACCCTGACCAATCAATTTCAAAATGTAACCCTCCTCCCCTCCTCTCTCCTGATATCTCTAATCTCTATGAATCTAAAAGCTAGCTTACTAGAAACAATATATTTGTTTAACACCTGAAATAATATTCAAAACGTAATAAAAAACCTTCATGTATTTGTCATTGTTTGAACTTATATAATACTGTATTTTTTGTTTCAATAGTACTCTGAGGTTAAATCAGAACTATCACCCCACTTTCCAAAAACATTAATCAGAATAAATGTAATCATTCTCTAGTTTATTGTAAGCATTTCCCCCCCCCACATGTTAGGTTAAACCCATTGCTGTTGTGTCAATTCTGACTCATAGTGACCCTATAGGACAGAGTAGAACTGCCCTGTAGGGTTTCCAAAGCTATAATATTTATGGATACAGGCTGCCACATATTTCTCCTGTAGAGCTGCTGAGTTCAAACCGCTGAACACTTGGTTAGCAGTTGAGCACTTAACCACTGTACCACCAGGGCTCCTTACATGTGAGGTTACAATGTAGTAAGAGATAAAATTTGGGGAAATTCTTGGGGTAATCATTTTGCGGTTGATGAATATGTTTATTATTTTTGATTTGGTGATGGTTGCGCAGGTATATATGAATGTCAAAACATACAAAAATTGTGTACTTTTAGTATGTGCAGTTTATTATATTTTACCTTAACGAAGCTATTTAAAAATCCATAGCAATTAAGGCTATGTGGTTTAAAAAAAAAACTATCTTAAAATATTACAGAATTTTGTACTTTTTCCCATGGTTACATGAAATAAAACTGAATTTGCCATCTTTACATGATTATATACTTCATAGCAAGATTATTATATTTCTTACTTTGTACTAATTGATAAAATACTTCCTTTGACCTCTGATGAATGACAGTAACCACAACATATTTTTCTAGTGTAAATGAAACTTACTGGATTCCAGTTGTGCATGTGTGCTATCAGGGATTCTTGGTATATCTCTGAAATGATAGAAAAAGAAAACAAAAACTGTTTCAACATCAATACAACTGCTATTTTGATTGTTATCAGCCTATACTGTAGTAGGACAGTGTGAAAATGATAAAAACTGTATATGGTAGCAACACTACATAAACTAAGAAACAAAGAAGCTTTAAGTTAGAGCTAATGAAAGTATTTGCACTAACCTCAAGTATTTAAAATCCTTAGGCATTTGCAGCATATTTGGAAAAATGCATACTTTATCTTACCTTAGTACAAAATTATCCATTCTCAAAAAATATATATATTCAACAAGATAGGTTTTATAGATATATTTTAATTATACTCTACTTTTTTACCTGTTGTAGTTCTAAATCAACAACATTGAAATGCAAATAAAATATCACCAAAACAAAAATTTAAATATTCAGAGATTGTGATTGAAGCTTTTTATATCTCTATTTAGAAAAGTATAAACACGTTTCTTCTTGGGACTTGCAAAATTATATTTTACCTGTATGTACACTCAAAATAAGTGTGCATTTTTGTTTGATACTTGTCAAGAGAGGTAGCTATTAATGGTTAAGATCATTCAGAAAATTACATAAAAGTCTGTAAATTATTTTAAATATCAAACAAAAATGTGATCTAAGGATTCTTTAATACCAGGAATATATTTGACTACTATATTAAACTGATACACTACACTTTACCATATTACCAAACTTCGAAAAGACAAATAAAAAGCAGATATAATTTCATGTGCCAGATTCATTACTTTGAAAGGAACATTTCAATAAAATTAAGTTACCAACTTAAGTCATTTACTCCAGCAAAAGAAGAGATCAAAGTAATCAGTTCCTAAACGAGTGAGAACTGGGTTTTAGTATTTTACAACAGAGAACAATTTCTGTTGTCTGCACCCTAGGATGCTCTTATCCCAAATACGAATTTAATAATTCACTGTCAGTGCTTTTTCTATTGCTTTTACTCAGTTATAGGTATATGTTCTTTGGCTTAGGATAGGAGCTTCTATAAAAGAAGTGCTGCTGTGATATTTAATGAGTAATTATCATACAGGCACAAAGGATTAAACATACTGCAAAATTTTAAAACTATCTATTTAATGTATAGGTAACAAATACAAAAGCAAAGAGGTTTATTTTCTATTAACACACCATCCTTAAAAAAGTTATGCTTTTTCCTTAAACTGTTAACTATACCTAGGAATAATATATCCTTTTCTCTCTTTCCTATGTTGAAATCTTCATTTTGAAAAAAGAGTAAAATTCCTAAAATATAGCTAGTCTTAATTTTTACAAAATAGAGGGCCATTATTCATTAAATTTATTTTAAAATTATTGCTCTATTAAGTACATAAGAAATGCTAGTCTCCTTCACCTACCACTGCCTTCAACCATCTACTAAGCTGCTAAAATAATAAAAGTAATAATCACCTAAATATTTCTTCTTATTTTATTATTAACTATATATTCTAGTATGATCAGATAAATAGACATCATGATTTTTGGTGAGGTGTTTTTAGTAAAGAAGGAGAAACAGAGTTGTCTACAAAAAATATTTATTTTCATAAAGCCATAAAACAATTTTGAATTACACATCACAAATTATTTACTACTACTCAACTTTATACACAGATAAAGTACTGAAACCAACTTACCCAATAGGCCTTGAAACAACAAGCTCCACTTGTGGTTCAGGTTTGGATTCCAGAATGATGTTGTATACGTCTTCAAATGTGGCTCCTTGCAATAGCCTTCCATTCCATTCTAACACTTCATCACCTATAGTGTGTGTCAATAATGATAATCTTAGAAAGAAAAGCTAATCTCATAAATGCACTTAGAAGCAATTTTAAGCTTCAATGAACTCCATAGAATAAAATCAACATTATGGAATAAGAAACATATTGAGAACAGCTCAACTGGCATAAGATTTAATAACCAGGATGATCATCACGCTTCACCCAAAGGGAATACTCTATCAGAGATAAGGGTCAGAGGAAAAAAAAAATTACATAAAAATTATCTTTATGTGACCTCTTAACAGAAATTTTAATTATAGACAATGGTCAAGATCAGTTGCCTCTCTGACGATTTCATGATTCTATACTCTAGATTTTTCAATACGTATGCAGCTAAACACCTTAACTATCTTTAAAGGTTATCTGTGGTCTAAACTCTCTCATAAAAAGCTTACTAATTAGCATCTTATACAATCCCCTTCAAGGTACTCAAGGATTTCTCCAATAGTACCCATTACCAAAGAGACAGGGTTGACTCATTTTAGGAAATATGCATTTATCTATTAAGTTTGTTTCCTAAACAATGTTGCAATTTTTCCAAAAGGCAACTAAAGGTGTATGAGAAACAAAATAGGTTAATACTAGATACAGATTAGGAATATCCATCAATAAAAGAAAAACATGAGTAAATATAAAACATTCTTTTATATAATGTGACTAAAAAATAATAGTTAACTTTCTACTAATGAATAAAGACTTTCATCTAACTTAAATAAGCTCTCTGTAACTGGCCAAATCGATGCTAAATGAGAATGGATTACTTTTTCACAACTACTCAAGTTTAACAGTTTAAAATGTAAAAGATCAAAGGTAGACGCACCTGGTCTAAGATGACCTACAGTATCAGCTAAACTTCCTTTTTTTACTTTGGTAATAAATGCACAAAGCCGACCTGATTCAGTCATCTTTCCTCCTACAACCTGTTTAAAAGAGGAAAGTATTAAAATAGGCTTATTGTCAAAATGAACATAGTTGAAGAGTCAAGAAAAAAATACCTAGGCAATTTACAGCTTTTAAACTTTTAAGCTAATATACTGATAATCATTTTTTAAATTATATAGTGTTGTTATTAGGAATTAAATACATGTTCTAAGTGTGGATTTTTTTTTTACATATTCTAAATGTTTTCCAGTTTAATCTGTTACTTGTTGAAAATGTTGTATACCTTAGAAAAAACTAGCCAATTTGTGATTTTTGTCATTACAGAATTCTTACTTTTGTCATTTCTAAAAAAAACATATTATTATAATACTAAATAATTATATAAATATTTGCAGATATATGACAAACATTATCACAATATAAATATTTGTTACAATGAATATAATTACACTACCAAAATTTCATTCATCAGTAATCTTTTGGCACATTAATAAATGTGCACAGTGATGGTGGACCCAATATTTACTTAATCTCATCAGAACTCCTGTAAAGTTTAGACCATTTGCATCCCAACCGTGGGTGTCACAAACAGTTAAGCACTTGATGACTAGCCGAAAGGCTGGCAGTTGAAACCCACCCAGAGGCGCTTTGCAAGACAGGCCTGGCAATCTGCTTCCAAAAGGTTACAGCCTTGAAAACACTATGCAATAGTTCTACTCTGCACACACAGGTAACAACAACAACATTAAAACATCTAAAAGTTCTTTTAGAACAGCAAAAACAAATGTTAGCAATAATGCCGTGGAGTCACATCTGTACCTGTTAGATACTGACCTCTTAAAAAATCAGTGCTTTGATTCAGATCAAGTGCCACTCAATCAATATATAAACTTTACAGCAATAAAAGCAAACAATAATAACTAACTTCATTGAATAAACTAAACTGTTTTTCTCTTCTACATTGAGTGAAAGATATTCTGAATTAAAAAGTCACTGATTTATCTTATTCCATACCTTTATTCTATAATTGCACTCAGTTGCAAAAGAGTTAATATTAACTAAATATTCCTTTTTGATTTTGAAAATTAAATGTATAGCTCTCATGGGCTGACATCTTTATGTAAATATTAAATAAACTTTCCTGGCTTGATAAGTATTATAGTGATTATTATTGAAAGCTTATAGAGTGTCAGTCACTGTACTAAATATTTGTATATTGCTTTATTTAATCTTATTATAATAATTCAACAAGTATTACTATCCCCATTTCACCGATGAGGAAACTAAGGCTAAGAGAAGTTTAGTTGTGCAATGTCAGATAGTAACTGCAGTAAGTAGAGTTCAAGTCAGGACCTTGAATTCTAGTTACTGCAGACAGCACTGTTCACACAATATACTGGGCCAGTCTGGATTTAAATCCCACCTTTGTCACCATCTGTGTGACAATGGGCAAGTTACATAACCTAAGCCTATTTCTCATATATTTTGTTAAATAAGATAATAGATGTGAAATGCTGAAATGAGTACCAGTCACATGGTAGACATACAACAAACTTTAATTTCCCAATTAAACACTGAAAGTGTTCTAGTATCTCCCATTTAATGTATTCTACAGGACAACTCTGTAGCAATGGTTTAACTCTAAAATACTTTTTTTTTCCATTTTGGTTTTTAATTGGTCATACCAGATACACAAAAAAGCAAAAGAGTTCTATTTTGTATATTTACCAAATAATTGTCTAATATTTTATAATAAAACACAAAACACTATTTATAGTTAATCTCATGACAATTATTTTTCAGTTTCCAGACTTCAAATTGTATTCTCTTTCACACATTTTTACACATTAATACAAAAATTATGTTCATATGTTATACATATATTACAATTCCCAAGTTTGCATACTTAGTAATTAGAAAAAACTATTATTTTAATAGGGTATAAATGTAGATATAGACTTAAAGGACAAACTGCATTTTCAAAGTAAGTTTAGGCATTATATTTAGAATTCAAATTTATCATAATTCAAGTTCCTTTCACTGATTTCCAAAAGTATAGATACTAGTATTAATACAGCATAATGGCAACTTCTTAATATTTGGAGAATGAAAAAGTTTAGGATAATGAATGCAAATATTTGAAAATTCTTAAAAATGGAAAAAAAAGCACTAAATTGGCATAGGTAGAAACAGTTATTATATCTTTTACTTTTCTGATAAATCTGTAAAGCAACATAGAGCTAACATTTCATAGATTTCGTGACATACCTTTAAGCCAAGCATTGCTCCTGAATCTCGAGGTACACTTCCATCTTTTAGACGTTTATTTAATAAAATGCGACCAATTAAACAATCTCCATCTTTAGATGGCTGCCAGGTCACAGGATGCTGACATATTGCATCAACAAACAAAAAAGAAATCTTCTTTTATGACAAATCACCTCTTATTGTATAATTTTCCTAAATTTCAGAATTTTAAAGTGTTATGATTACACAAACCAGTTTGCATTCAAAATATTGATCAAAAGGACATAGCATATTAAGCATATAACCTCAATTTTATAATTTTAATTTTTTTCAGTATACAAATAATTCAAATTCTTACAGTGCTCTCACATAACACAGAAGTTATATAGTTCTTTGAAACTGAAACATCTTAAAAATAAATGCATACTCTAATAATCTATGTGCTGAAGATTAAAAATTCACAGATAGAAAAAACAGATTGAAATTTTACGCAGTTGAACTTATTTAAAAATGAGAATTTCATCTTCAAACACTTTTGGAAGATTTGGAAAGATTTTCTTACACTAAAAACTAAAAGGTCAAATCATATTAAAACATGAAATCTGAACCTATGATGAGGGCTTTCTTAAAATAGGTTTCTAGATTAAAATTACAAAAAATACACAAGCCTCAGTAAGTTTCCAATTGAAGTGCATGGGAGAAATAAGGCCTAATTCAAAGGTCAGGATATACTGCATTTCTCACTTTCTAGAGGTTTATTGATTCTTTCAAGTCTTTGATATATTTAGTACATTATCTCTACTAGATAACTCAGTGGTATCCATTGTTAAATAACCTTGAAAATGTTAGTAGTTTATTTCTTTCTCAGGGCAGAAGCAAGTCCTTTATAAATAGAGATGCCGTTCCATTACGAACTATATGTTAAATAACAAAGTAAATGATTTGTGTAATCACAGTAGTTTTATCTGAAAGTAACATGCACATTTTCATGCAAAATTTAGCAGGCAAAAGACAAGTTCCAGTAAATCACACTGATATGGTAAAAAGATTTTCAAAAGTTCCACTACACTCAAAGCAAAAATAATAAATACCAAAGCAGATGGCAATGGTTCTAATACTAATTAATACTACATTAAAATGCCATGACAATAAAACAAAAGAGCAAAATGACAGTGAAAGGGAAAAAAGAAAAACAACTTTTTCTGTGCAAACAAACCCAATTATCTCCCTTTTGCCTGGGATTCAAACTATTAATAATTTAATTTTCATCCCAAGGAAAATAAATGCAAGCAATTAAATAAGCCAATCCGAAAAATTCTTTATTATTTGTGGTTTATAATAACATCACAAAGTTCTTTCATGCGACCATAAGACAAAACATTCCTTTGTTCCTAATTTTTATTTTTATTTACTTATTTGTTTTTCAGTATGTCATCAAACAATAAAAACAGCAAAGCAAGCAAGAGGGTTTTTTGTTGTGTTTTGTTTTTCTTTTCTGCACCTTAAGAAATGCTACATTGACCTTTGAAATATCCTGTCTTTTTATTATGTTCTGTTTTGATGAGTGACAGAGAGCAAACGAAGACCAAATGAGCAGGTTAAAAGGCAGGCTCCACAATCTCAGTACCTTATCACTATGGCTATGCTCCTCGTTAAGGGTTGTGCTACTACACGTATCTACCCCAGAGTCCTTAATCTGAGGCTCAGACCATTCCAAATCCTCTTCCAAAGAGTGGCCACCAAAGTACATCATTTTCTTTTGTCTCTCAGACCTGGTGTAAGAGTCCGACAAAACTGCCTGCTCACTAGTTTTTCTTTTTCCCTTTTGACTGTCCCCTACAGGTGTGGGATAAAAATAAAAAATAAAAGATACAAAAAAGAAAACATGCAAAGGTGTAAATAAAAAAGGAAAAGTGAAATAACAAAAATTAAACTGTAAGGCTCCACATGTCTCACCAAAGACATTGGGGATGCCTCACTGCTATGCCAAGACGCATGGTCCAACCAGTTGTAATCCATGTCTCCTGTGAGAGTCAGACAAAAGAGTGCAGTAAAGGAGACGGCGAAAGAAAGGGCAAAGACATTATAAACATTTTAAATTGTGTGATCCTGTCTAGTTTTAAGAACTCTGTATTCGTACTCACTATACATACAAGAGAAAACTAAGATTCCTAATGTGTAAAGTTTATAGAATGCAGAATATAAAGTATATGCACTCTAGGCAAACCCTACAAAACAAAAGTCCGGCAAGAAGAGAAAAGCCTACTAATAAACAGAATAGAATCCAAAAAAATTAAATATTCTGAAAAAAAAATAGACTATCAACTATGTCTGTTATTTTTTTCATGTTGGCCTATAGAAATAAGTTTGTTTTGCTCCAGAGATTAGGAACATTTCATAAAATGAACAGTGGTTTGCCAATAACCACTATAACAAAAAGCCAAGTAATTACATTTTGCTCTTGGAGTGTAGTATGATATTCCTTATAATGCTGAAATCTCCTAGAAGATTTGGGTGGTTAAGAAAAAAAAAAACTGGTTACACAAAAGGAAAATTTTAAATGAAAATGACAAACCAGATTCATTTAATGTCTATTAATGAAAATAAAATAAAATGTATATAAGTATCATGAATTACTTAATACTACTTTGAAACAATCTTTCAACTTTTTCAGAAATTGAATTTTTATAAAGTGAATTTTTTCTTTTAAACTAATCTTAAACCAGCTTATATAACTCACAAGTAAGAATAATATCCCAAACTTATATGTTCCTTATTTCCCTCAAATTTGAAAAAAAACATTTTTAATCTATATATGCCATATCTTTTATTTAATTTTTTATTGTACATTAGATGAAGGTTTACAAAGCAATGCACATATATCTTTTAAAACTCTATTCATACTTTCATTTATTTAAAAACACTTATTACACATCTTCCATTTGCTATGCATTGTGCTAAGCCCTACTGTAAGGGGTAAAACAATGAGACATGCTTACAACAGAGTAGAAGATAAACACAATAAATAAATCATCACACAAAATATATAACTGCACATGGTGCTTAGTGTTATATAAGAGTATATAAAACACTATTAGAGAGTATAGTAACACCTCTAAAGAAGTGATATTTAGGATGAGAACTGAAGAACAAACAAGGATACAGGCAGGTGAAAAGTGGTAGACAGAACATTCCACAAAGTAGCAGCATGGTACTGTAAAAGAACTGAAAGAAGAGCAGTGTGTCTGAACCAACAAGAATGAGGGAGCATACAGTGCTAAATGAACTGGTGAGGCAGCCCAAGCCAACTTAGAGAGGCCTTTTTATGCCGTATTAAAGATGATGACTTTTATTCATTAAACAATTTTAAGCAAGATGGTGACATGATCTGATCTACATTTTTAAAAGATGAATCTAAGAACCATATAGAGACAGGTTTCGAAGATCCCCAGAGTTAAAAGGCATTGGAAATAATCCATGAGAGAGGTGATTATGACTTGAACAAAGGTGATGGCAGTAGACATACCAGAAAAAGAGGGAACTGAGAGATGTTTTGGAAGCAAAAATAACAGAACAGTAAGAAAGACTGAGGAGTCAAGGATAACTCTCACGTATCTAGCATTCACTGAATGAAAGAAAAGGCCCCTTACGAGATGAAGACTAAAGGAGGGGCACTTATTATTAGGGAAGAGGTAGGAGAGAATTATTCTCTTTCAAAGAGTAATGTAATGTGATATACATTAAGTTTCAGAGATACTAAAACATCTAAGAGTATCTTAGACTTGATTAAATATAGTGATTAACTTTCCATATGTTATCTATCTGAAATGCCTATAAATTATTCAAGTAGACATATAAGAAATCAACAACCAAACTGTAATAAAGCTTAGGAAAAAAAAGTCTGAGCTGGGGACATTCATTTGGTAATGATCAGCATACAAACAGGAGTAAGTCATCATTTAGGAAGAGGGCATAAAGTAAGATATGAAGAGAATCCAGAATGAATTCCAGCATTCAGAGTTTGCGTAGACAAAAAAAAAAAAAAGAAAAGGAGAGAGAGACTGAGGTCTCTGAATCAAACAGAAGAGTTTCCTAAAAAGCAGGAAAAATCAACTCTGTTGAATGATTTCTACACATCAAGTAAGATGGGGGACCAAAAAGTGTACTTTTTATTTGACAACACAGAAATTTACAAGGATGTTAGAAAGAGCAGTTTGGATAAACCGATGAGAATTAAAATCAGATTGAAGTAATTAAAGAGCCAAAGGGAGGTGAGGAAGTAGAAAACTGCATGTAGGCCAGTTGTTTTGAAATCAGCATCAGCTGGGAACTTGTTAAAAATGCAAATTATTGTGCCCCACCATAGACCTACTCAATCAGAAACTGTTGTTGGCGCCTAGCAATCAGTGTTTTAAATAAGCCCTCCAGGTGATTATGATTACATTAATGTTGTAGGAGCACTGAAGACAATTCTTTTAAGAATTTGTGAAAGAGAATGAAGCTATACTAACACACGCAAAATGCTATTTGTAGAAAGAAACCCAATCTTTAACTTGTGAACTAGAATAGTACTTCACAATCTTTTTCATGGCACAGACAATTACAGTATTAGTACAACACACTGGGATAAATGGAGACGACCAGCCCATGGGATACTTATCTCCACACCTAGATAGCAGCACATAGAGTTAAGGGTACTTGAAGCTCAGAAAACCTGCAACCCATTCAAAATACACTATTGTTCCACAGCACACCATTGGCAAATCTCTGAATTAGAGAACACATAGTTTGAGCCTGTAAATTTAAATTCTTGGCTGGTGTATGTGTAGGCATGAAAATTCAGCTTACAATCTCTCTTCTCCCCCTATGCTTGCACCTACAAAAAGCAGAAATGTAGTTCTGTCCTCTATAAATAAAGAAAATAAGCTATTTGCCCATTTAAAGCTAAAATTAAAATGTCTGATTGACTAAGAGCTCATGATATATGGTAAGTACTCAATAAATATTTGTTGAATAAGTAAAAATCAGTGTTACTGTAATAATTAAAGTTATGAATGTAAATCACATAGAAAATAGTCCTAAGTTGTTAGGACTGGTAGTATTTAGATAATACTTACCGTTTAATATTCATATTCAGTATAGTTCCATATGGCAGAACTAAGACAATAACCTAACTCGATCCTTTAGTAGCAATACAAAAACATGCTGCTGGGCCTTCCAGTTCCAGGCAAACAAATAGAAGACACAAAGAAGAACCACATGGAAATTTCGGAACTAGAAAATACAGTAGCTGAAACAAAAACTGAATAGATAGGCTCAGCTGCTGAATGAAGAGGACAATGGAACAACTCAATGAACATGAACATAAAACAATAGAAACTATTCAACCTGAAAAACAAAGAGAAAATAGACTAAAAAAAAAAAAAACAAAAAACAAATGAAGAGAGCTTCAGAGACTTGAGGGACTAGACCAAAAGACCTAACATTCATTGGATCTCAGAAGGAGAGATAAAAGAAGATGAGGCTAAAAAACACTCAGAAATAATGGCTGAATTTTTCTCAAATTTGGCAAAGGACATTAGCCTACAGATTCAAGAAGCTAAATAAACCCCAGACAGGATGAACTCAAAGAAATTTGTGCCGAGATGCATCAAAACCAAACTAAAAACTGAATATAAGAAAGCAACAACAAAAGAAACAATACCGATAGGGTGAAAACAATCGCGGTAACAGTTTTCATCAGAAACCATGGAAACCTGAAGACAGTGACACTATATTTTTCAAGGGCTGACATAAAAGAAATATTAACCTGAATTCTAAATATGGTGAAATTATCTTTCAGGAAAGAATGAGAAATAAGGATATTCTCATATGAGAGAAAACTAGGAGAATTTGTTACCAGCAGACCTACCATAGAAGAATAATGAAAGAAAGTTCTTGAAATAGAAAGGAAACAAAAAAGAAGAAACCTGGAAATATCGAGAAGGAATAAAGAACATGGTAAGTAAAAATACTGGTAAATACAATAGATTTTCCTTCTCCTTTTGAGTTTTCTAAATTTATGCTTGATGTTTGATGTGATTTTCCATTGTCTGATGTGATTTTCGACATATGTAGAACAAATATTTAAGACAACTACATTATAAACAGAGAAGACAAAGGAACTTAAAGGAAGTAAGATTTCTGCATTTTACTGTAACGAGTAAAATGTCAACACCAGTAGAATGTGAAAAGTTATACCTATGTAACATATTACATAATCATTAAAAAAATCTATGCAAAAAGATCCATGCAAAAACACTATCGATAAATCAATATGCATTCTAATAGATGTTCAGCAATTCACAGGAAAGCAAGAAACCAGAGAAATGAAAAAACAGAGGGAAAGAAGGAGCAAACAGAAAACAAAAAAGAAAATGGCAGACTGAATACCTAACATATAAATAATTACATGAAATGTAAATAGTCTAAATACAACAATTAAAAGACAGAGGTTAGCAGAATGGATAACAAAATACGTTGTCTACAAGAAACCAACTTCAAATATAATAATATAGATAGGTTGAATATAAAACAATGGAAAAAGATGCAGACATTAATTATAAAAGCAGGTCTGGCTATATTAATAGCAAAAAAAAGTAGACTTCAAAGAAAAGGCTATTACCAGGAACAGAAATAACAAATTTAAAAGAACTGAAATCACACAGAGTATGTTCTCTGACCAAAGTGGAAGTAAACTAGAACCCAATAACGTGAAAATCTCCAAACATTAAAAAACTAAACAACATACTTATAAGTCATTTACTGGTCAAAGGAGAAGTCTCAAGGAAAAAAAAAAACATCAAAATAAATGTTAATGACATACGACATGTCAAAACTGTGAGTCACATTTAAGAAATGCTGAGAGGAAGATGTATGATACAAACGCTTACATTAGAAACAAGGAAAAGTCTCAAATCAATAACCTTATTTCTCACCTTAAGAACCTAGAAAAAGAAGAGCAAAATACACTCAAAACAAGAAA